CTCCTCCTCCTCCTCCTCCTCTTCCTCCTCCTGCATGTCATATCCTTAGAAGTTACTCCTCTCTGTCGCACCCCCGATGCCAGTCGGAAGGGCGGACTGGGTGTTTTGCCTCAAACTTCCCAACTTCGTATGGGCCCGAAGCTTCAACATGTGCAGCATATTCACAGATGGAGGGCGCTCGCTTCCAAAATGTGGCTCGTGCCTTAGCGCCGCGCACAGTCGTTTTAAACAGGTGGAAGAGATTCACGGATTGAGGGCGGCTCCTTTTCATAATGTGGTTCCCGCCTTAGCGCCGCGCACCTTCTTTCTAAACCTGTGCAAGAGCGGCTCGTGTTCACAATGTGGCTCTGGCCGTAACGCCGCGCACATTCGCTTTAAGAACTTGCAATAACCTCACGGATTGAGGGCGGCTCCTTTCCAAAATGTGGCTCTCGCCTCAGCGCCGCCCCATTATTTCTACAACTGTGCAAGACTTTCACGGATTGAGGGCGGCTCGCTTTCACAATGTGGCTCTGGCCGTGACGCCGCGTACATTCGCTTTAAGAGTTTGCAAGAGATTCACGGATTGAGGGCAGTTATGATAATCAGGGCGCAACAGTTACTTTGATTCGCGGTGTTGAAGTCTGGCACGACTCAGGATCGCCACGACGCAACGCTTCAGGATCTTCAAACGGTTGTCTCCCATCGGGGCACTTTCCTCGCTGGAAATGAACCCTTGCAGGGGCCTGTGAAGAGGGAGCTTGGAGGGAGGGAAACTCTAGCATCGCTAATGAGTCTTAGGTTTGCACTGGTCCTCCTCTTCATTCTCATCCTCCTCCACCTCCTCCTCCTTCTCCTCCTCGCCGTGCTCACCTGACATCCTCGCATCGTGGACAAGGAACGACAGACAGTTTTACGGCCACTGGGAACCTCCTCACTGGCCCTGGGACTCGGGCCTGCCGAAGAAGCGGCGCCCGGGAAGAGGTCCAGACCTCTGGGCAGTCGCGTTGTGACAGAAAAGCGGGCATCGCCTATGCGGCTCCTCCTCCCGTGTCTCCTCGTCCACCTTTCCCTTCATTGCCGCCCGCTGGGACGGCCGAGCTCACCCCCGCACCATGCCCACCTGCGCCACGCCGGTCGGGAGATGCCAACCATCGCCGGGCGGCCCCGCCTGGCCGCTCGGCGCACCCTCATTGGCCGAGGGCCAACGCACGGGCGGCCGACGCGGTCTCGGCAGGCTCCGCTCCCTCCCTCTCCTCCTCCGCAGCCGTGTTGGCTCAAGGGCTGCTCCCCTGGGCGCGCGGGCGTACTCAAGCTCGGCGCGCGCGCGCGCCGGGGGGGGGAGCGACCCGACATCGGCGCTGACGGCGGCGGCTGGCTGCGCGGATGCCCTCGGGGAGGCGGCGCAGTCTGCGGCGGGCGGCTGCTCGACGGGCTGCCAGCCTGCGGCCGCAACGAGGCACCAGGCTGCGGCGGCCCAGGCAGTACAGCTGGGCCGCCGAGCAGGGCGACATCACGGCGCCGAGCGAGGCGCTGGCGATCGAGCTGGTGTCCAGCATGGCCCTGGCGGCGCCGATCCCTGAGCGCGTCCTGGCAGGCCTGCCCGACGGCGTCGCGCAAGCAGCTCAGCCAGTGCAGCGGGCGCGGCACAGCGCGGGCCTGCGCTGCGTCGCCGTGCCTGCGGCGGCTACGTGGCCAGCAGGAGCGTCGCAGCTCAACCCGTGGCAGCGGCAGGGGCGCGACAGGCAGATCTCCGCTCGCGAGCAGGAGGCCGCGGCGCTCCCCGGGGCAGCGGCGGCCAGCTGGCCGCAGCCAGCGCTCTGGCGCCAGGCACCGCCGCCAACCCTTTCCGCACTCGGCGGCCGACGGCGGGCCGACGGACTGGGCAGTCGTCGTCGTCGTCGACGTCGTCGTCGACGTCGTCGTTGGCGTCGGTGTGGGCGGCGTCGTCGTCGTCGTCGTCGTCGTCGTCGTCGTCGCCGCCGTCGTCGTCGTCGTCGTCGTCGTCGTCGTCGTCGTCGCCGTCGTCGTCGTCGTCGTCGTCGTCGTCGTCGTCGTCGTCGTCGTCGTCGACGTCGACGTCGGCGTCGGCGTCGGCGTCGGCGTCGTCGTTGTCGTCGGCGTCGCTGTCGTCGTCCTCGTCGTCGTCGGCGTCGTCGGCGCGGCGGTGGTGGCAGCGTGCCTGCCCGGACGAGGATCCGCCTGGCGGAGCGGGCGAGGCTGGCGGAGGCCTGCCCGCAGGTGCCCGCGGAGGCGGCGGGCCGCAAAGGAAGGCTGGGGGGAGGCCGCGATGGCGTGCACTGCTCGTGTGGCTCTGGTGAGGCAACGGGGCTGCACGGTTTCCCCCAGGGCCGTAGGCGAACCGAGGAGG